ACTCCTTTTGTACGAACATCGCACGCCCTCATACGCCTCCCCCTCCCCCCAACTTACCCCATGAGAGAAAAGAGAAAAAAAAGGTCACCTAACTCAGCACAAGGCTCCGTCGTCATAAGGTTCCCCCTCCCACCGCCTCGCCTAACCACGAAGTACTTTAAAAGTTTAAAACAAAGTTGCATTAACACGGCGCACAAAGAAGCGGTCCCGAGCACATTCACATGTTTCGTACACGCGGGACCGCACGATGCCAATGCACCTTCAGCGGCGGGAAGTCTCGAACACACACACACGTACACACACACACACACAGAGAGAGAGAGAGGTATGCACACACACACACGTACACAGAGAGAGAAACAGACAGACACACAGACACACACACGTACACAGAGAGAGAAACAGACACACACACACACACACACACACGTACACAGTGAGAGAGAGAGAGAGAGAGGGAGAGAGAGAAACAGACACACGCACACACACAGACAGACACAGACACGCGCGTAAACCCCAACCAGATTACGCATTCAGCATCCTCACGAAAGAGAGAGCGAGAGACACACGTTTCCTTCGCTCTCAAAAACAACCCCAAGGCGCGATAGGAAGCTCACTCGACACGATATAAAAATCTGATTAAAAAAAAAAATGGGACATAAACGCAACATTTTCAACGGGCTCGGGGGTCATTCCTCTCAAGTAGATTAAAACTCTTTTCTTAACTCTTAACATTACGACACGAAGCGCACTTTAAGGACCTCCAAAGCCTCATCAAAACCTCATAATAATGAAGTTTCCATTAATCTGTTTCCATTTATTTCCATTTATTATTATTTTTTTCTATCTAGTTTCAATTATTTCAAATTGCAAAGGGAAGCGATGCCAGGTCTTAGGGTGAAATATCCCCCCGAACGGCCTATTTGATGCCTGGTGACACTCTCTTCCCGCCTGCGCTCCCGATTCGAACCTTCATGAAGCCCAATTAAGGCCCAAACCATCATTTTGGGCCACAGAGGCGCAAATCACGGAGCGCGAAGTGTTTTGGAATCCGTCGGAACATTACGGTCATTAGCGTTCGAAATGACAGGAGACGAAACCCGCCAACAGCTAAACTTCACAAAATTCCGGTTACAGTTTTTCTTTCGACGGCACATACTGCATCGAATGCGGATCGGCGTAAATATTCAAAATCACTTGCACTATCGCGAGGATACTCACCTGCTGAAATAGAAAAAAATGAAGATAAATCCAGGACCGCCTCCTCGCCCTCCCTACGCGCTCATCGTCCCGCGGAAACTGCGCGCGGCGGATTTCAAACGGGGGGTTGCGTGTCGCGGCCCCGTCCGCGCCGCGAAGTAGTACCCCTCTGCACGCGCGCCGCGAGAAACCGGCTCCGATTCGAACGACTGCTTAATCTAGAATATTCCCAATGATCATATATTGATATCCATTGTAATAAACCCATCAATTATACTGAAACTCACTCACGTATAATTATGACATTTGAGCGTCAATTCGAAGAAGTACATTCAAAACAAGTCCTCGCGCCGTGATTGGCTGAGAGGACCGACATCTCCCTCGTGATTGGCTAAGAGCACCTCCTGCCGCCTCGCGATTGGTCCGCTGTCAAGTCGGCGTCGCGAGCGAGCGGGAGGAGGAGGAGGAGGACTCTCAGGCGCCGCGTCGAAGCTCATGTCAAGTTCGCCTTACTTCTCGTGCCTTATTTTGAGACAAAGTGAGTTCGATGGCTGTTGAACGCGTTGCAAGCAGCCCCCGGGAATGTTTGCAACGCATTGTAGTGGTGTTTGGGCCGTGACTTGTCCCCCCCCGCGCTGAGGTAAACAAATGATGCAAGAGAACGTTTGCGAACAACGTTGACAATGTTAAAACGTAAATAGTGAATTCTCGTGCTTTAAGGCCTCACGTAATCCTAGCAAACGTGTCCCTTAATTCACTTTGCAATGTAGAATGTAAAAAAACAAGCCAAGTTAGCGATTCCAGGAAACCCAGCTAACGAACACGTTTTTAAACCCCCCATAACTTGAAAGGAACTTAAAACGAACCCCCTAAACCCCCAAAACTTAAAAGGGATTCGCAAGGTTGACGTTAATTCTTTGTTGCAAGGGAGAGATGACATCATTATATCAGGGTGTTCTTTCTGGATGGTGAACGTGCTGATGAATGGGGGGGGAAAAAGAGTTTGGTTGCATGTGTGGATGACTACAGGCCTTCCTGTGGCCCAAACTAATTTTGAATTCCATTGCAATCGCTTTGGGTTGAATGTTGCTTGGTGTGTCGTAGAAGTACACGTGATTGATTTTTTTTTTTATTCCTTTTTCTTTTAATCTGTAGAAGATACCCGATACCCGCCACTGGTTTGTTTGTCGTATTGCTTCGGGAATGACATATGAACATACTTACATATTCTGGCAGTTTGTTTGCTAATGACTAACAACTACTGGTTCTTTTGCCAAATGATTTTATATATGTATGCATTTGTATTCAAACATGTACATGTTTTCATGAACTTTTAATTCCTCCTGATTTTACTTATTTCCCTTGCATTTACCCATCATATTGTATTTATTTGTCATATTTAGCATGATTCTTGAAATAAGGACCATGTCCAGAAAAACAGTTATTGTCTATTGAAACTAACCATTAAAAGTTAAGGAAGCCTATAATTGGATACTAAAGGTTTACCTGTAACGAGCCGAGTATTCACAATTGCTTCACTGCAATTAACACTCCATTGTAATTACAACAAATCTATCCCATCACACTATCTTTCACAACACATTCAGGAAAGGTTTCCGGAGGTCTGTTTTCAGAAGTTAAGTTTTATGACATATATCAATGACTCATCCCAACACATACTCTATAAAGATGAACATTTATTTATACAATGTCTGCATACACACACTTATATATTATATATATAATAAGCATTATATATATATATATATATATATATATATATATATATATATATATATATATATATATTTATTTATTTATATATAGATATAGATATAAAATATGTGTGTGTGTCTGTGCGCGTGCCTTCACATATGTACACGCACACACTTATCTCTCTCTCTCTCTCTCTCTCTCTCTCTCTCTCTCTCTCTCTCTCTCTCTCTCTCTCTCTCTCTCTCTCTCTCTCTCTCACTTTTATATATAATACATATACATACATATATATATATATACATACGTACGTATATACATACATACATACATACATACATACATACATATACATATATTGGTGATTTAAGTTTGTTACCAATTGCTGATGAAATTTCAACATCTATCCAGCCTCTCCAAAGTAGTAAACCAGCATCATTCAGTTAGACTACAGTTAAATGAGTAAAAATACCCCAGCAGGGGACTTGTCACAACTCTAAAAATGAGGATCTGCAACCTTGCCTTATTTATTCATACGGAAAAAATATAATTTGCTCATGTTGGTTGTCCCAAACCTTCTTTCCTGGTTATTAAAGATCTTGAGAGGGACTGGAGTACAACCATTGTAAATGATGCTTAACATTCTAAGAATCTGGTTTGACACAATCTTATTCAGAATGCACTGACTGTGATTACTGTCGTTAGTCTCATAGAAGTGCAGTCCGAAGTTTAAGAATTATCACAGAACTATAATCTATGTGTAAAAAAGAAAATATAATAATCAGAATGAGTTATGGAATTTATTATGAAAGTATGGTTATTTTTGTATTTTGTAAATATTACTGGAGATAAATTGTATAATGAAGTTTTCGACCCCTGTTAACCCATTCGCGCCGGGTAAAAATGAACAAAAAATGGGGGAAATGCTGTGCTCATTTTTTATTATTTTTTTTTTTTTGTGAAATGTCTCTACACTAGATGGCTATGCCTTACCTGATTTCACCTTTACTTGAATTGGTGGGAAAATTCAAGAATGATTCTGTTATTTGTAGATTTCTGAAGCTGTGGGGGAAAAAACTACATTTTGCAGTCAAAGAAGAAATCTTGATTGAACATTCATATGAAATTAACATAATTTCTAATAGGAAACAAATATGCTTTATTTGCCAGTTTCCGTAGTAGCTATGTGTAGACACGTTTCCATAAAGTTGTAAGTTTTTTAAACTAGTAGTAGAGTAGAAAACTTGTATGTATTTATTATTTTTAATCTAATTTTTAGTAGATTATGACAAATGTCTTGGTAAAGTCAGGCCTAGTATTTCTGTTACTAAGAATAAGAATAGGTCAGCTTTGATTTATCACATTTCTAGATCATTCAGTGATGGGTTCATCGTGTGTAACTAGCTGTAAGTGTTTTCTTGAGAGAGATCCTTCTACGTTTGATTCTTTCCAGCATAATGACTGTTTCGCCTCGCAAAAAGTCGCTGGTCGTTGGCAGACTGCGGCCATCCACAAAGTCTGCTAAAGAGTCTCCACCAAAGGATGAGTGGCTGGCTGCAGAGAGTTTCCAGTTCACAGATTCCCCACCCTTAAATAGGAAGTAAGTACATATGGGTATGGTTAATAAAAGTTTTTAATCAGCACTCACTCTTCCAGGTCGATTCGTCTGTTTCCTAGTAATTCTTATGATTACTTGTATTTTCATTGTGGTAACTGGTATTATTACACATATCCATTCCTTTGACCACACTCACTCTATCATTTTCTCTACTTTTCCATTAGGCCCACCTTCTTAGTTACTGGTAGGGAAATATATTCATTTCTACCTTTGTCTTTGACCATTTATATATATGAATGTTTTATTGGTTAGAGGATCAACATATACCTTATTGCTTTATGCTGACAATCTTGCTTGTATTGTCTTACTCTTACTATCAAGATACTGTACTTCATATATACTTGACATGTGAGAGAGTAATATACATTTCCTGGTGTATGAATTCTAGTTCTTGAAATATTAAAAGACCAAAACTTTGCAAAATTGGACCTTCATTACAGCTGAAGGAGAAGACAGCAGGTGTAGTAAT